AGCCTGACTCGGCCCAGTGACAGAAATATGCAATGTTTGACCCAAGATAAGGGAAATGTGTACAACCTGTACCCATTCAAAATGGAAACTATTTAACAAATGATTGTTTTACATGATGTGATGTGGGTCAATGGCCTTAAAAACTGTATAAACTTACTTTCTTGACAAAGTCAACATAATCTATAAACTGAGTAAATAACAACGAGGCTGACAACATGCAATATATGTAAGTAAATGATCTGCAATAACATCAACATTGCAAAACGGGATGAAAAAGGGGAAGGAGTATGGGTAATGCAGGGAATAATGGAAATAATTTTTTCGTGAAAAATGGAAATAAATGTATGAGATGAACATCGGTCTTTTGAGATGATTATGTGAACTGAAGTTGTTCTTAATTCTTAGCGTGGGTTTTTTGGTTTTTGTTTTGTATTTTTGTAATTACTTTTTTCAGATCTTTAACTTTGAACTCGAGAAAAATGGTTTCTAGAGTGTAAAATGAAATCTTGGTTCGTCCAGTAGAGGGCCACAAGAAAAACTCTCCAAACACCCTAAACCTTTGTTAACGTTGTTGTATTTTCTGACCTAGGCATAATTTTGCAAAAATGTAACACGAACTTTAATTGGCAAAGCGAAACCTCACACGACTTTGTTATTTAGTGGGGTTTGAATTTCCTACCCCAAGTGTAGCAGTGAAAGCTTTTCATTTCGTCTCTTCTATTGTTGATTATTCATTTGTCAATTGCTTTACTGAAACATTCGTTTCTTGAAGACATGATATCGATTTAGATAATTTTCCATTTTTTTCACTTATTTTGCAACATCTCAATTGTAAACGTCATAAAATAAAAACTAAAGCATGTATCAAAAATTCAACCAGCTAAATTTAAGAGCTACATATGTATTGTTGGCATGCTAAATTAAAAGTGAATCGGTTAATAAATAAGGAAATAAAATGGGATTGAAAAAGGTATACAAAATCCAATATGGCTGCCGTTTCCATAGCAACCGATTCACAATATACTTTTTGGACTATTGATTAAAAATCCCCAATAAGACACGATGTCCCACAGCAAATATCGGCACCCTAGGCCTTGTAATAGCCAAAATAGACGCCAGGTGCCCCACCAGTCCTTAATGAGAGGACTGGAATCTTTTGTTTTTGTTACGCCCTGTTCGGCCCTCTTTAGATGGATATGGAGCTTCAACAGCAACAATTGAAAAGAATAACAACAACAGCAACAAAAACATAAAATCGACAAAAGCAGTAAGAGCACCCACAACAACAACAGCCATGCCAGAAAAATCAACATCTCTGTCAACAAAAGCGGCATTAACGTGACCTGTGTCACGTGGGATGTACTTTGTTTGTGCCATTGTTGTTTTTCCTTTTCCCTTTGGAATTGGGTCTTGTTTTTCTCTCCGTTTCATCACGTAGCACCGAGTCGGCGCGTTGTTTAGAATTCCCCTCATCCGCCTTCGTGTGAGAATCCTCTCGGAGAGGATTGGAATAACCTGTAACATTTCCTTGAGCAGGATCAGAATCCGAAAGAACAGTATTTCCATCTACGTTTATTTCATCTGAGCACGAATCACAATCACTTCTGAACACAGAAATGTCAACAGCGTCGTTTTTAGAGTTAGGAACACAAGACGCTTCCCCCATAGCAGAGACATTTTCTGAAGTATCCGAGGAACACTCTCGAGTAGTGTTGTGTTTGTTCCGTTTAAACTTTTTACTGTCCCCATCACCTTCTTTGTTGCCTACACTATTTGTCGTATGGTCACTTTCTGATTTCTCAGAATTATACGTAACCGCATTTTCCGAATCCTCAGACCCCGAGCCATGCTGAGAATTTGGCACACTGGCATTGTATGTTATTCGTGACTCTAAAGCCACTCCTTGGCTGTTCAAAGCTGATTCACCAGCAACCCCCCTTGAGCTAGGATGCGACGAGGGCGGACGCTTCTTGGTTTGAACTTCAAACATAGCAGTGACTGCTTTGGGGTCCAAAGACAAAGTTGTTGAATGTGATTTCAACTTTTTCGCCAGTTCTCTCTGTCCTCCTTTTATATCAGAAGGCATTTCATTCCTGATAATAGTTCCTTGCTTGTTGTGACTGTCTTCATTTCCGTCGACATTACTAGATGTGTCAGAGTCTAGACTAGGGTTGTCACTATTTTCTGAAATGCGAGACAGAGGAAGAGATGGAAGCTGAGAACTGGGAAACTCGGCGCTACGGGTTCGTCGCTGTCCACGCTTTCCTTGAAAAGAGTGGAGAGCATTTCCTCGTTTGGAGTTCTTGTAGTTTTGCCCTTTAGATTTGGCCCCACGTTGAGCTCCGCTGACTCGCGGGCGACGCCGTGAGTAGGCAAAACTCTCGGAGGAATCAGGGCCCAGATATATGACGGGTCTCTGTCCTTGAGAGCCTGTGCTGTCTGAGTGTGTGGACTTAATGGACACTTCGTCTAACGTTATGTCTGGGGACATGATGGGACGACGAACCGTTAAGAAAACAAACTTTCTTTACTAAAAAAACCCAAAACAAATGAACAAACAAATGAACGAACAAACAAACGAAGCCAACAATTACTAGTGTTAACACAGAAAAAACATTTTTTTCAGCCGCTGTGATATTT